GAGCCGCGGCGTGCCTGAGCGCCTGCAGGGACCCGGGGCTGGGCAGCTTCCAGCAGCGGCACACCCGCGCTTGCCAAGGAAACCGGAGCAGCACGTCAGAAGCCAGACACAAATGTGAACGCCGGGGATCCTTCCAGATCCGCACAGACATATTTAATCAACTTTAGAAGCGACCAACGCTCGCTTTTTATGACACGTATGTGATTTAGATACAAAATCCGTAAGCAAAGAACCAAACAAACTTTCGGCGATACAACGTTGTTGCAGCCAGGCTCAGAAAGACACCCAGCGTATCACACACTTTAAATTACCAGGCGAAAAAAACTGGAGGATCATTGGACTGTTTTGGAGTGCTCTGTAAGGGAGCCCGAGCCTTGGTAAGCTGCTGCTTTTACACGAGTAACCAGACTGGACCCCTCAGCTGCAGATGTAGTGCAGCCACCACAGTATCCTTGCCTGCACACAGACTTTTACCTACAGAATCTTCCTAGGCTCTAGAGTAGGTAGCCCAGTTCACCCTGTTCGCATCAACAGGACTTTTGAGAACCTGCTCCCTCCTGTTTGTCTTTGTTTTATTTAAATAAAACATTAATCTCATGGTTTAATGTACTTTCGGGTAGAAAGCAGAATAAAACATTGTTACAAAAGAGTCTTCATACAGTGTATGTAAACAGTAACAAATAATGTAAACATCACTTTTCCTCTCCTGAGATATCCACACTCCATTTTTGTATCTGCTTCTTGATATATTCATTCACCACAATTCCATCTATTCATTCAGCCCAGTAGGTCATCAAACATATTTTCCTCCACTGTAATTAGGTACGTACCCTAAATGCCCTTAAAACCAGAGGGCATAATAAAGCATTCATTTAACCATTTTCATTATTTGGGATTTCCCTGAATTTTTGTTTTCATTGAAAACTGAATTCATCGTATCAACCACAAATTATTCATTCCATCTCTGATCAGCTGTTGCAAAACAGCTAAGGAATCTGTTACCAGGATTAATTTACAATTATAGGCACTTAGAGCTGGGGTGACCTTCAACCCCTTCAATGCCCTTCAACCCCAAAGTACATTTGAAAAATGTCAGCGCATCCTTTTTCTTCTAAAAAACGATACAGCTGCCCCAAATCCATATGATTTCCTCTGGCACCATGTGCATCAAAGCATTTTTCTTCCAAAGCAGAGAACTTCCTTTGGTTTTGAATCTCAGTATGTCCTCCATCTTCCAAAGAGACATCTTCTCTGTGCCGAATGAGAATTCTTTTCCACGTTAATCTCCGTACTCTGAAAGAAATTGGAGAAATACCAGTCTGTCTATAAAATAAAGACTGTTTTAGAAGGTACTATGAAATAGCTATTCTCACAGAAGTCAATAAATTCCACTTGTATATCTGTGTATCTTGACAGGGATAACATTTCCCTAGCCTGTCACTGAAATACTGCTCACATGCAAGCACTCCCAAAAGCGAGACCTTGTTTCTTTTTATCTCCTCAGGATTCAAAGACCTTAATGTTATTCCTCACAAAATAACTGACGAAGACGTGGTTTCAATTTCAGTGCCCACTTCTGCCTTGCCTATGCACAGAATTCTGATACTCTCATACTCTCTTAGCTTCTACATTCAAATGGCAACATTCACTTAGTCTGCATTGCCAAGAAATGTAAATGGTGAGAGAAGAACAAAACACAAATGCCAGGTGATGTAAGAGCGTACGCGTCTGACGCGAGCAGGGCTCTGCAGCCACTCTGATCAAACACTCAAAGCTGCACAACCGAAACACAGGGGAAGGCAAGACAGAAGTAAATGTGCACCGTGCAGTACCAGTAGCTTTGACTGCTGCACCCAACAGTCCAGAGTTGTAAATACACTATGATAAACACAAACACCTTACAGACTTTTATAGGTTGGAAGGTGATCAGATTTCCCACCTTCTGGCCAAATATACAACACGAAACATGTAATACTCTAAGTACTAATGGCGTTTAAGTACAAAGAAAAACTAACCTTGACCAGAACTCTTCACAGCTACTTTGCAGACCTTCCACACAAACAACACCTGGTTTCCCCGGCATACAAAACCCTGACAGGGAGAGCTCCTTGGCCCAGTCAATAATATTCTTTCTTTTTTGCTTGTTGTAGATGTGATGACTGTAGATCCACAATCGAGTGAACGTGATGTCTTCTGCCTGCACGGCATGTGACGCAGCCACCGAGGAACAGGACAGCCCTCTGTCAACGTAAGCAGCTGCATGATCTTTCACCCACTCCATTGCACTCAACATGCAGGGCTCACCACTGCAGTTCTGCATCAAATACATTTTTAGATCAGAGTTCAGGTGAATCTGCTGAGCACGGCTTAGTAATGATGACCTAAACAAAAAAAAAAAAAAAGCAGTTGTAACATGCTTACAATTTAACATGTTTTTCAAACAGTTTTGCTTCAAGCTGCCAAAAAACCAGCTCATATTTAAGAGGCATGCACTTGTTATTGACACCTAAGTAGCTATGAAAAGGTCTTAATTAGAATTTAATCGGTATGCTAACTCTTTAGATCACATATAGTACTACCAATCTGTACGTCAAAATCAAGAAAAAGGTACTTAAAAAGTAAGTGTGGTGGCTGAACTAAGTGCCTGTAACATGCAAGGCTACTTCTTTAAACAGAAATGTTCCAGTCATAGAATCACTATGGTTGGAAAGGACCTCTAGGATCACCAGGTCCAACCACCATCCCAGCATCTCCCTAACCACGAGACTATATCGTAAATGTGATGTAAAATAACGGAAGCCTGAGTAACAGCATTTTGGCAAGGGAAGAATGAGACCATTCACTAACTTTTCACTCCTTTAGTTGGTGCTAAGCCTTGTCAAACCGGATAAGCCTCTCTGTTTGAGCACTAGACCTACGAACAATGCCTGCATGTAAAGCCCCTGCAGAGTAGATGGCACTCCTCCACACTTTTCCCATTTTTCTCAATTATTTGCCGAAGACACCAGAGAAAACATAGCCTTGGAGATTTGATTTTCTTCAATACTGTTAACCTTCTACCTTAATTTGATAGTAAACAATCAAAAATGGGACTGCTTTTTCCTAGTATAACTGTATTTATGTAGTACACCATAGCTTCTTAACGTTTTTATCGGCTGTACTTTTAATGCCATACCTCACAGTGATTTCTGGGAGAACACTTGGATATTTAAGTGGTAAAGCACAGGCCATAGAGAATTCCACCTAAAAAAAAAAGAGCACAAGTTCAGTTCAAGTAAGCCCTAAAATCCCACAAAATAAAAATAATTTTAAAAAAGGTGTTTATGATACCATAGAAGCATTAGAGATCTCTGTCTTTACATTCAGTATAAACTGAACTTTTGAAGATGGCATCTCTGCAGACTCATTTTCAGCATAGTGTTTTAGTTCTGCTACAGCCAGCTGGTCAGTCACAATGAACTCCTCCTCATAAGGAAACATGCTAGAGAGTAAATCTAATTCTGAAATTTGTATCTCGGCTTCTTCTCGGTCAGTCATTTTTGCCGTTTCCTACACAGAGAAGAAATTCGGGAAGAAAAACAGCGTCTGAATATGGGACAAAGTTTATTAACTACCCCCACGTAAATCATATTAATCCTTATAATCTAGCCCAGAAAACTATGCTTGGGCAGTGAGGAGCATGAAGACACTCCGTGACAGGCCGTGAGGGGCCCGTTGACCTGGGGCGGGGCAGGACGCGGCGCTGCGTCACCTGGCACATTTCTCCCTGTCAGGGCTGCGTACCTGGGCGTCAGCGGGCCCGGAAACACTCCATTCCCCCGCCGA